TCCGACCAAACAGCGTATATTCATGTCTACGTTGCTAAGATTTTGCATACATTCAACTATTTGGTTGGTAAAGAGCTGCATATTCTGTTCTGAAATTTGCAACTAATTTTCTTTTTATTTCTACATATTTTGACAGAGAAATGTACAATATGGGTGATTTCGGATAAGGAAAAATAGTAAGAGATGTACAATCTTAGTGGGGTTGACATATATCAGTGGGTTCTCTGATATTTTTCTTGGGAGGCTTATTACTTACTAGTGGTTTAACCGTGCTCAGGACGGGGCACTACATTACGCGTTTATAAGTGAATATTCAATGCAGTTGATTTTTCAATCACTTCTAAATAATGACAATAATGAGTAAATGGAAAACGAATTAGTCGTAAAAAGCCAAGGAACGAGCGTCGATTTATACTCCTCATTGCGTGTCTCTCAATCCTTTGGTTCGCCTTCAATTGCCGTGATGACAATACGGGTTACCTGAGAGCACGAATAGTTGCGCGCAATATATTTGTTTGTGATACTTTCGCTCTGTCCTGACAAAGAACACACGTTGATTACTCTTCTAACTGCGTGTCTCTCATTCTACCGAATTCGCCCTAAATAACGGTAATGGATGCTTAAATTCTAGGCAGGACCTACTTTTCAACCCGTAGTTACAGCAATTAACTTTTTTTCGTGCAAATTCTCCGTTATCGCATTTATTCGCGCGGAAGTGTAAAGTATGGATTATCAGAGGTCACCGACGTTAAATATTATCAACAGGCTAACCAAAATTTATGACAACGAAAAACTTCACTTATAACATGATAGGTTCATCATAAGAACGTGGAACAATAAAGTATTGATTCTCAGCGCCGAGAGATCATGTGCAATTTCGACGGCACCTCGATTGGCAACTATGGATTCGCTAGGGTTGGGACCGTCTGAGCCGGGTCCCAGACGCTCAGCAGACATCGGTGGTGCAAAAATCCACAACCCCCGGGCCGGGAGCGGCGGGGCCCACCACACCCCCGCCCCCCGCGTCTGGGCCCACCTCGCCATTTCACCGCGAAGCCAAGGTCGTCGGCACGCAGGCGCAGCACGCAGCATCCCCAACCAGCCAGCCAGCAACGTTTAATCATCGCAATAATCACACGGCGAACACCAGCCGCCCGCGCGGGGCAGAGGGGTGCGCAGGGAGGAAGGGCACAATACCATCCACCCTCGAAAGTGCATCAGTCTGAGCCCTGCAGCTATTTTGAAGGAATTTCGGAATCGGTCCCCCCGCCACGCCGCACTATCACTCTTTCCCTCTTTTGCAGTCGCCTGACACATCCCCCTGTCTCTCTAAAAATAAATCGCGAAGAGTATTTTCGCCGGCTGTCCCTCCCTCTCTCTGCCACCGCCGCCGCTCGCTGCAGCGCTGAGTCATCGACCGCTCAGCGCTTCTTCCGTTTCTCACCCTGCACTTTTTCCATTCCACACTCGCTCCGCATCAGTGGCGTGGCGTGAATTGCGATGTATCGATTGTTATGCCATTTAAACCTATGGTAAAGAATCGATTATGGAGGTGTTCGCTGCAAACACCCTGTTTATCGATCCTTTTCCGCAGGTTTAAATGGCATAACAATCGATACATCGCAATTCACGTCACGCCACTGCTCCGCATCGCTGACTTTCCTCCTTTTTCCATTAGATTTTGGCTTTCGGTTCGTGCGCGGGGCCCTCTGGAAGACGTGGGAAGTTTTCGATCGCGAATCGGGGAAAGTAATTAGTCTCTGTCTAATCCAATAACGCGAGTAGGGTTGCAGTTCGATCTTGAGAATCGACACCTCGCTCCACCCAATCAAGTAAAAATGGAAATGAAAGCAATCAGAAATGCATTTTTCCCCGGTAAGTTAGAAATTGAATGCAAGGTTTCTCTAATAGGTACATGGTTGTCAGGGGTCTCCAAAAGGTGCGTCGTGGAAATTAGCATCTACATTCATAACTCTCCTGTCCATTGTGTCGCCAGTATTCAAAAGGGGGTGGAAGTGACGTCATCCAGTTCGCCAGCCCAGCCTTTCTTTTTCTGCGGAAGAATTAGAAAGTTCCAACACCGGAAACGAGAATTGTTCGTACGAAAGTAATTTAACCTTTCATACTTTTAGGCCGTTCATGAAAGATTTTCATTCACTCTAAAAACAAATCGAAATCATTAAAATTAGATACAGTAAAATCGAAAAATCGGACTAATTACTCCGCGACAATCGATGCACCCCCCCCCCCCTGACTACGCGACGTCTTACGGATGATAAGAAACCAATCGACCAACCATGAAGTTCTTTAGGTCTGCGACAGCCAGTCGATCAAAAACCACCCTTTATCTTCCCTGTAACCCATTAATAGGGATGAACTCTCACTTCCGCGTCCAGTCGATCAAAAAATGGATGAACTCCCCTCATCTCTCCGTCAACCCTTAAACAGGGGTGAACTTTCACTTCCGCGTGCGCTGAGCTCGGGCATGGTTCCTGATCACCTGACTGGGCGGAAACTCGAAAAAATCGTGAGGATCCGATGGAAACGGAAGGCAGTAATCGGTGTCTGTTTTCCCGGAGTTTGTCAGAGGGGTTGCGGTTGCGGGCGCGGGTGCGGGGTCATCAACCCTCGAATTTCGCGGACGAAGCCCGGTCCCTGATGGGCTTCGGCTTCGGTGCCACGGCGCACAATGGATCGAGTCAATCAGAGATGTCGGACATGACATTTTTGACTAAAACTGAAAATTTAGACGTTTATTTCGTCACATTTCGAAATGTAAGGGGTGTTTCCAGTAGGCAATTTTACGAGAAAACCAATGGAATCACTTTTAGAACCTCAAAGTTTAGTATAAACGGTGTTATAAGCGTTTTAAGTTTCCAAATTTTGTCCGATTTCTCCTATCGACTCGATCCATTGTGTGGCGTAGCGCCCCGATGCCGGTGCCCAGCAGCGAAAACGCCCGTCCTCCGATTGTTACGCAGTATTATTTACAGGGAGGGTTATCGCCACCGCGCCGCATCGTCGAACGGGCCCGCGGCAGGGAGGAGGGTCCACCTCCCCTCGCCCCGCTAGCTGCGCCCCGCGACCCCTCGCCTTCCGCGCTGCCGCCAATTCTGATAACGTCCGACCTTTGTTTTTATTTTTATTCTTTTTAGCGGTCGCCTTGAAAAGTTCGATGGAAGCGACAACGTTCCCAGTCGAGGACGATGTCGGTAGGGTTTGAGCCCGCGAAGTGTCGGTGAATTCTACATATTTATACAATTTAATTAATATTTTCTTTCGGGCTGGGCCTATAAAAAATCCTGAAATAAGTTAAAACGAAATTAAAAATAATAAAATAAAAAAATTAAAAAAATACTTGAAAGAATAAATAATATCCTCCGTGGCTCTTGATATTCCAAGAATTTCTGCAACCGAAAAGATGTCTCCAAAATTGAAACTTAATTAATTTGAAAAAAATTCGTCGTCGTATCTATCATCCTTATTGTCTTATGTGAGTGCACATGCTACTTACATAAGTTAGGGAATTTATCATCAACCACTGTTCAAGTTTTATGAGCCTCGAGTTCAGATTAGATATTATCTTTAAATCCTCAGTTCTAATCAATTTTGTTCACAATGTCACTGAAAAAATTTCTGACACAAACTTTTGTCAGTACATTCTTCATAAAAACATAAACAATTCACCAATCATTTTAATACATTATGTTGTTCAGTCTTCTGTCAAGCATAGAAATCAAGAGAGGAAATCTGGAATCGCGAAATGCAGTTAGGTTCATTTTAGTTATTTGATTCACGACGGATTACTTTCAGAAGTGCAAGGGGCAGAAAGAGACCCTATCAGCATAATTTCAGGGACTCTAAACGTAAGCGGTAATTTTGGCAACGCAAGGCCGCACTTAATAAAAGCTTCGGGAGGTTAGATGAAAAAACGATTTCAAAACTACATGCTACATTGTTACCTGCCTCGACACCAGGCGCGTTTATCGTCGCTCCTGTGGCGTGAAGGGCGTATCTGAAGTTCACGTGAGCCCTATTGTCCGTGTAACTTTATGCTTTCCGTGGCCCATGTGGATCTAGAGATACGCCCTTACATCAGAAGGGCGACGTTATTTGTTTACCTTTTGTTCGCCCCTGCAATATGCACCCATTCATCTCCGAGTCGCGTTTCTTGCAATTCGCGATGCGATTTTTCGGCCCCTATCGCGATCCCGACCTTCTAATTTCGCCCTTCCGCGTTCGCTTCCCGTTCCCAGCGTCCTATCGAGAAAGGCCAAGGGTCTCAAGGGGCCAAGTCGTCTGATATTCCTTTGTCTCCACGAACCGTATAAATTCGCCGGTAAAATGGTAGATTTTTTGCTAATTGGCCATTGATATACCAAGCCCAAGAAAATGTAATTGTCAGAGTCGGCGAGCACTCAAAATCTGAAACGCGAGCTTGATTAACCACGTATTATGATTATCAAGTGCAATTGGGTGACATTTATTGTTTTGCTCAGTTTGATATTCAATTCTTTGCGCTTCGCGCCCGAAGCATTTCGGGGGTTGGACCGCAAAGCGGAAGTCGCTTGGATCTTGAGTCCAGCGAACACAAACAAAAAAATAACAATATTGTTAAAAACATCGAGAAGAAAGAATACTCTTGATTCAATCCGTGTTTTCCTTGAGTCGAACAGCCGAGCCTCTTGATTTAGGCGGATTTCCTTTTATCTCAAGCAAAAATTCCGATTGAATCAAGAGTATTTTTTCTTGTCAATTTTTTTAAGAGCCTGGACTCTAGATTCAATCGATTTTTCCCCGGTGATTCTTCAAAGCAACAACTTGATATGTGTGCCCAGATTTAGAGTGATTTTACAATTATAAGTTCCATAATTTGTAACATTAATTTCTAGAGACCTGCTTTTTTTATTAATTAAATACATAGAGTACTACAAATATGTATTAACCTTACGTATTAATGAGAAACCTGCTAATTTTGTAATTTGATCTGTGTGTTACAGAATGTCGACGGAAAAGTATTAATGTTGGCCGGTGGCAGGAAATTCATCTCGATCCTCAGCTCGAATCCAGACTCTTAACTCGGTCAGGATCTGAAAAGTGTCAAAATTGCGTGAAGGAGGAGCCAAGATGGCGGCGCTGCAGCAGTATTGTCTGCGCTGGAACAATCACAGGTCGAACCTGTTGACGGTTTTCGATCAGCTCCTTCAGAACGAGGCGTTTACCGACGTGACGTTGGCCTGCGAAGGTGGACTCTCAGTGAAATGTCATAAAATGGTGCTGGCCGCTTGCTCGTCCTACTTCCAGAACGTCTTCACCGAGCTCCCTTGCAGGCACCCCGTCGTCGTGCTCAAGGATGTCCGTTACTGCGAAATCAAGGCCATCCTCCAGTATATGTACCGCGGAGAGGTCAATGTTCAGCAAGATCAGCTCGCCGCTTTGCTCAAGGTCGCCGAGGCTCTCAAGGTTAAAGGACTCGTCGAGGAAAATAGCCAGGTACAAATTTTGCCTCAAGGACTTCTCCTCCTTTATCTCGAAACTCAAGGCTTCAAGTTCTATGTTTTTAAGTAAAATTTGAGAACTCCCTTGGTGCATCTGTAAACCTAGAGGTAATTTGAAGGAGAAAGTCAAGGGAATTCCACCGGGAAAAACCGGGACTTATCAGGGAATGATAATTTACAGGGAAAATCAGGGAGTTTGTTCCAGAAACCCGGAATCTCTTCTCCAACCACCCAGGGATCATTTCGTTTTCACATTTGGCGGTCTAATCTGACGTGCGCCAAAAACATGGCTGTAAGATTGATTAAAATGGATATTCATATCTGAAACTTTGGGAAATTATATTCTTTTCCCCAAGAAAACCCCGGAAAAGTGGGAGAAAACTTCAGTTTCTCATCAGTGAATAAGCTCCTGAAAATCAGGGAAAAATCAGGGAATGAACTTTGCTAAGAAATCTAGACACCATGGTTTTGCATCGCCGTTGGTTTTTTTCTCTCCTTTGCGACTCGATAACGTAACACACGAATGCTTTGTTTCTTACCAGGTGACGAAATCAGACGAAGACCCGAACACGATCACGACCTCCTCGAACGCGAACCAGACGACCCCTCACTCCTCGAGCAGCCGGAACTCCACAAGCAACGGAAACCCCAACTCAACGCTCAACTCCAACTCCAACTCCAACAACTCGCCGCCGCACTCGACGAGCGTGCCGGCCCAGTCCAAGTCGCCGTTCATGTACGGGGGCGGAGGCGGTCACGGGGGCAAGTCGCCCCTGGAGCGGCCTGGCTCCCGCGGGGGTCTCCCGGTCTGGGCGGTCCCGCACGGGTTCCCGCTGCCCTCGACGCCGAACCCGCACGCGGCCGCCATGCTCTCCTCCTGCTACGAGGCGGCCATGGGCGCGGACATCCCGCCGCTGCGACGCAAGAAGATGTCGGGGATGATGATGTCCCGCGACACGCCGATCCTCCGCACGGTGCTCGGACAGGGGCAGGCCGACTCGAGCCAGCCGGTCTCCCTCATCTGCCACCCCGACAGCCACGACTCCCAGAACCACGCCAGCAGCCCCGCTCAGGATCCGGACAAAGTAAGTCGCCCTCCAACTACGCGGAGAGAAAAACTTCGTGCACTGTAAAAGAAAAACTTGAGGTCGAGCTGCCGAAGTTCGGGTCACACATCTGAAGTACTCCGGGACATACCGAAGTGCCGCGATGTCTGACCCGAACTTCGGCAGCTCGACCTCAAGTTCTTAGATGCGCGACTCGCAAACTTCAGAAATCCATATGACCTCAACTTCGGGTCCCACGCACGAAGTTTTTTTCTCCGTATAGAGTCCCTTTACACTGAGAGTTAATTTAAGTGAATCCATTTCTGATCGATTCCTGTATTTTAGGCCTCCACAGTGTCACAAACTGGAATAAAGATTACACTTTCACCAATTGCAAAGATTATAATCTGGAATGGACCGGGGAATTACGGGTTTGGCAAGGCACAAACGGAATGAAGGAAGGGACGGAGGAAGGAATTTGAGAATGAGCCGTTCAAAGATCACGAAAAACTTTCAATTTGTGTAATCTTTACTCCCGTTTGTGATTCCATGAGGGGAGGGGGGGGGGTTGTCGTCTTAACTCTCTGTATACAGGAGCTCTACCTTCAACTAGAGCATCTCAAGCTCTCGTCTCCACGGAACCTTCTGTGGGTTTTGTCCCAGGGAAAATTCTCATCTGCCAAGTTGGGAAAAACATTGAGTTAGCCAATGCAGAAACAACTTAAAATGGAACTAAGGCCGCAAAAAATGAAATAAAGACGTAATTTAAAAAAAAAAACCCGGGGTGTACTACTACTTTCGTCAATACCACTTGTATACCGCGTAGTAGTCACTAATCACGGTACCAAGTAGATTCCTTGTGAAGTCTTACGAGCGACCCAGAGCGAAGAAGAAATAATTTTGTTGTTTTGTTTAACGGGGAAAAAGCTCAGAAATTGGTCAGTGAATTTAGAATCATAAATATGGGGTTGGGAAATGTATATCCCTGGTGTTTTTACTGTGCTAATGCCTTAAGTATCTTATAGATCTGCCCAGAGCTAAGGCAAAATTCCCTCAACTTTATTGAAAAGTTACATGCTATTTCAGGAAAGTTTCTGTTTCGTTCATTTATATTTTTTGGATAACTGTCGACATCCTCAGAGTTAATACCTACTCGGATTGCCCCACCGTGCTGACGCAAACACTCAAACCAAAATCTTTAAAATGACCTCCTTCTCATATATTTTTCTCTTCTCTTCACAGAGTAATTTATCGGTTAAAGCTGAATTTTCGTCAGAAGGTGCTCCCTCTCCGTACACAGACGTCACAGACGAGGAAATGAACGACCGGGTAAGTTTGTAATTCTTTTTCATCACCATTCATTACTTCCATTTCCCTCTGCCTCATGAAAAGTCGATGCAAAAATAATTTTAGTATATATAGCTCACATCTTAATTATTCTAATCATCCATTTTGGAGTATTAGTTTGACCTATTCGCACTTGGTTCTTTTCATCGTTTTCTCTGGTGAATTATAAAGTAGGAAGAACATTTGGACCGCATTTTGCGATAAGGAGCCCTTATTTGGCTCATCCATAAAATCACGGGAAATCATCCTAAAAATCTAGGGAAACTAGATCATATGGATTGCATTTTGCAAAAAGAAATCGAGAGCATTACCAGATCGAGCATTACCAATCGAGAGCATGTTGCTAGGATTGTGCAACTTAGATTCTTTGCAATAGCATTACTGAAATTATTCCCAAAACTAAATTTACGAATTTAATATTCGTTTTGAATTTATACTTAATTGGGAGTGAAGATAAAACTTGTTTAGATGATCAATTTGTATTTGCAAGGTATTAAAAGTTGCACAATTTTAGCGACATTGGAATGCTCTTGGTTCCCTCTTGTTGAATGCAATCTATATCGACGTGAAACTATCAGACCACGTATCTCATTTGCCGTGTTTAAAAATTTCCGCTCCTGCTTTATTTTTTTGAAAGAGAACAAAAACATACGATTTCTTGAAATTTTCACAGAGTTTTCTTCGTACAAAGAAGAAAAAACAGGGAAGTTTTCAAAAATTAACTTTGGAAAGTTTTTCATTTAAATATAAAGTATGACAGGAAATGTATAGCGTCACAAACCGAGATATACTGGAAAAAAGTTGCTTGGATCTAGAGTTCAGACTCTTAAAAACGTTGACAAGAAATAATACTCTTGATTTAATCGGACTTTTTGCTTGAATCAAAAGGAAACCCGCCTAAATCAAGAGGCTCGGCTTTTCAATTCAAGGAAAAATCGGATTGAATTGAGTATTTTTTCTTGTCAATGTTATTAAGAGTCCGGACTCTAGATACAAGCGAATTTTTTTCCCCAGTGTACGTGGTCCTCGATATGCGGTTTCTACAATGTGTCAGAAATAGTAGTTCCTTATTGCAAAATTTTGTTGTTCGAAAGTCAACCACGAAGTACTCAAATTATGACCGACGCATTATCGTGTGAAATCGTCCATTCCCTCGAACGCGAGAGCATATTTCCGCAAAGCGCGGGACTAGGTCAGATGCGTGCGCCTTCAATCCGGCGAGATACCGCGAAGCATACGCGCGAGCCGGAAGGATGGACTGCGGACAATTAAAAGGAGAAAAAGCGGGCGCCCGGCTGCTCCTCGGAGTCGTGAGAACGCGGATGGATCGATGCAGTGCGATAACGCGAACCAATCGCCGGGCCTGTCAAGCCGCTCCGGCACCGAATTTGGCAGAGTGCTCACGCGCCCAGCTGCCAAGCCTCCGCCAAATGCGCCCCGAAAAAACCGCCCCCTCCGCCGAAGTAGCGTTCCGCCCTCGCGAAGTTTATACTTCTGCTGGCACCCTCAGTTTTCTCCAGAACACGATTGTCCTCGCTACGCCGCACATTTGAAAATCGCGGATATTATCGTTAGTGCACACCACACTGGAAAAAAAACACATTGGATCTAGAGCCCAGACTCTTAAAATCATCGACAAGGAAAAATACTCTTGATTCAATCCGATTCAAGCTGAAATCAAGAACCAAGCCTCTTAATTTGAGCGGATTTCCTTTTAATTTAAGCTTTAATCTGATTGAATCAAGAGACCTTTTTCATCTCAATGTTTTCAAGAGTCTGGACTCTAGATCCAATGTGTTTTTTTCCAGTGCACTATAGAGGAAGATGAAACACTAAAATTTTCACACACAAGGAGTTTCTCTTATCCTTAAACCCTACCGTGGTGCTGTCCAAGCAAACTGTGCATCTGGGCTAAACCCTCCTATAATTTTGCAAGGTTACGAAGTACAATTCGATTTCGAATTCTTAACACTAATTTTTAGATCATACTTCTACATTTTCGTGTCACTTATTAACTTTTAAAAAAGTGGGGAGGAAAACCCGTTCCCTTATGGCATATAACCCGTGTCATACTTCTAAATTTTCGTGTCACTTATCAACTTTTAAAAAAGTGGGGAGGAAAACCCTTTCCCTCATGGCATATAACCCGTATGAATGGGTCCGTTGCGCTGATCACAAAATCGTGTTTTGATGCCTGACTTTTGTAGATTAGCTAAAAATAATAAGATATGTCCAGACAGCAATTTTCTACGTTCAATATTAACCGAGATATCACCGTTTGAAAAGTTGGATTTTTGACGTCATCCACCGTGGTAGTGAAATCCCTGGTTTCTTCCATCTTGCTTTCGTCTCTCCAATTGACTCGATTCACCGTGTCCAGTTGCGATCAATTATTTCAGGAAGACAAAACCCGCGATTTTTGGGTGCGCGCGGAGGGAAGCGCGAGGTGGAGTCGGAGAAAGTTTACGCGCGGAGGGGCGCGAATAAAAATGTGCAACACGGCGACGATGGGGCGAAATATCGCGGAGCCGAGAGGGGTTCGCGGGAGGGGCGGGGCGGNGGTGGGGCGGGGGTGTGGGTGGGAGCAAGCGCCGCGGCCGGGGAAAAAAGGGGAGGAAAAAAGTGGAACAAACGAAAAATGCTCTCTTCCGCGATGCGGAATTCGGGCGCTATGGCCCGTTCTCGGGGTTCGGGTTCGCCAGCCCCGCGCCCCGCTGTCAAGTCGCCCCCGAGAAAATAAGACCTACTTCTCGCTTTCATTCCGGTCGAGATGTCTTGGAAACTCCGCATTAGTTGAGGTGGGAGAATCACTCTCGAAAATGCTAAGTCATCACCTTCCAGGCAAAGTATCACAAGCGCCATGCGACGTTTAAAAATTTCCGCCGCCATTTTATTTCTTTACTGAGAAATTGTTGGTTGAATCTGTTCGGAAATTTCACTGAATTTTCTTTGTGCTGCCGATAAAATTTAGTGAAATTTCAAAACAGATTCAACCAACAATTTCTCAGTAAAGAAATAAAATGACGGCGGAAATTTTTAAACGTCGCATGGCGCTTGTGATACTTTGCCTGGAAGGTGACGAGGTCTTCTTGTGAGGAAGAATATTCATATTCAATTGACGATCCTTATTGAATCGGGACGTACGAAAACCGATAATGTCCACTTTTCCAGTCTTCAGTTTTTTTGTTTTTTTTTTGAGTTGATAACACTTTTAAAGAGATTATCTATATTATCTATATTATACAGCTACAAGCAAAATCTCGGAAGCACTATTTCTGACGAACTGCCGGACCGATAAGGATGAGCTTTACATGTATGTCATCGGTAGTAGATGTAGATGTGCAAAAAATTATGAAACCCCGAACTTTTAATGTTGTAGAGCTTTTAAAGCTCATGTCACTTAAGTCCAATGTTAATAGCGTGAGAGATATGTCGTTTCCGCTAGAAACGTCAAGGTGTGGGATTCTACCTGAGTGACTCGAATAAACAATAAAACAATGGAAAAGCTCGTGAAGGGCTCCTCATTCGAAGCGTTGAGGAACGGTGCATCGCTCAGGGTTCAAGGTTCAAGGTCCAAGGTATATGTACATCCAGCTATTCCTCATCATTTACAAATCTGAGTGTTACGTCAAAAATTTTGAAATCTATGCAGCTCGAACAAAAAATGGTGTATTAAAATGGAAGAACATTTTTGCCTATACATATGCGTATAGGGCCCGCGAAGCGGGCCTGAGGGCGCGAGGCGCCCTCCCGGGGGTTGGACCGCGTAGCGGTCAGGGGGCAGGGCCCCCTAGTACAACCATAGAAGTGATGAAAGGACTCGCTTTTGGATTAAGGTGACCCGGAGACGAGTATTAACGCCACTTTCGTGGTTGCATCCAACTCCGAAAAGTATTATAACTCAAAAGGTGAAGACTAGGAAAATGGACGTTAGCGGTTTTCGAGCGTCCCGATTCAATTAGTATATTGAATTCAACTTTTCTGGGTCTTTGATGTTGAGAGATTGTTTAGCACATTAATTATTCTGTTTGTTGAAACATTATTTGGACTGTACACGTGGTGGAAACTTAGTTTTAATTGTCTCGAATTTCAAAAATGAGAGACACCTCAACGCGCGTTGATGACGGCGCAGAGATACGACTATTCGTGCTTGATGGATGTCCGTATTGCATTTGGCAAATTGAAGGCGCGATAGCGCTAGGCGTGCTCTGCTGTATGTTGACTATTGGGTGTCACTCCGATTCGGGAAAAAAGTGAAAACATGAGAACCGATAACGTCTATCCTATTTTCGGTTGTATTTTTCTCGTAGCTCTTGAAGCACAACTACAAATCAGACAAACGGAACAACGTGGAAATAGAGTAAGTGAAAGGATGCGCGACGCGCGTTGCTGACGGCGCAGAGATACAACTATTTATGCTCTATGGATGTCCGTATTGCGTCTGTAAAATTAAAGGCGCGGTGGCGCAAGGCGTGGACTCGAAATGCTCCGCTTTACACTGCCAATCGCTCAGACTTAGGAGAATCAGTGAAGATATGTGACCCGATTACGCGTTCCCCATCTTGGCTGTATTGACACTCTATTTTTTTATTTTTTTTATTTTTTTTTTATTTTTGAGGAAAATTATGCATCTTTTTCCTTGAAATTTTCAAATGTTTTAGATTAATCCGCGAACAAAATTATCTGACATATTTGAAGAAAAATATCCAAAATTTTTCCAGTAAATTTGCTTTTTATCGGAGGAAATGCGACATCTGAAGGCTCATACGGCGTTCTTTCTTAGCACGGCAGTATTAATGAGCCTCGGAGTAGCTTGCCATCGGAGGGGTAGGAGGAGTGCGTGAGGGCAAGGCGCCAGGAAAGCTCAGGCGAAAGTGGAAACCGAGTGACTTGGCAAGAGGGTCCCGAGAGCCGAAAAACACGCACGTGGAGGAGTCGCGAAAATCCGCCCCCGCCCCCTCCGCCACGCCGAAGCTCGCTCGACATTTCCGCCACCGCAACGCAGGACCGAAGGGGTGCAGGATCGGAGGGGGAGGTTTATTGATCACTTCCTCCCATTTTTTTCCCTCCCTGCACGCTATGCCCCAACTCGCCCGGGCTCGGCCTCCGTTTGTGCAAGTTGCTCGCGAACGCGGAATTTAGCGCACTACCCCGCGACCGCGCCAAACCCCCGTCAGGTGGCAGCACCGTCCGAGTCACCAAGTCACTCTCCTCCCAGGGCGCTCTCGCTCTTGAGCTTGCGCTCTCCCCATCCATTTGCGAATCAGTTTGCCAAATTTATGCCCGAGGAAATTAAAGTTTTCACACTGACTATAGAGTCCCTTTACACTGAAAGTTAAGACGATGCGAATCCGTTTCTGATTGGTTCCCGTATTTTAGGCCTCCACAGTGTCACAAACGGGAATGAAGATTACATTCACACCGATTGCAAAGATAATAATCTAGAATGGACCGGGGAATGACGGGTTCGGCAAGGAACAAACGGAATGAGAGAAGGAACGGAAAAAGGAATTTGAAAATGAGCCGATGAAAGATTACGTAAAACTATCGATTTATGTAATCTTTATTTCACTGTGCGACTCCATGAGGGGGAGTTGTCTTAGCTCTCAGTATAAAGGGACTCTAACTGACTATAAGTGACGAATGGACCGAGTTTGTCCGAAAGGAACTAACCCACATTCGCGAGAAAATTGATTGAAACGCGTTTCTGAATTTCACTAGCCGTATATTTTCTCCTTCCAAAACTGAAAGTCTAAAAACAAAACAAAAAAATTGTGAAAAGAGGGGTTAAATTTTATTTTTTACATTGAGACTTATGCAGGAATAAAACTTCAAACTTCTTTTTCTCAGTTTCAACTTAATGTGGGTTGGTTCCTTTCTGATGAACTCGGTCTAAATACTTCAGTCTTCTTCGCACGACCACTGAAATGAGGCCAATCATCGATGATCTAACGACCAGAAAAAAAGCGGTCGGTCTCACATCTGCCGGGCAATGATGAGCTGAGATGATACTAGCTCGTGATCGTGAGTTCAAAAGAAATTATATCGCTTAACTCAATGGCAAGGAACATTTTTCAAAATTGTATGGGGACTCCAAAAACAAGAAAAATAAATTTGGACAATAGCAGATCTCGTTTGCTTAGGCGAGTTCGAATGATTTTTCGGATGACATCTAGTCTTATTCGCATTGAGATTTTTTAGGAAAGAGCCTGTGTGCATTAGAATTTGACTGGTATTTAACATAATAGGACGTATTTCTGCCAAACGGAAGTATGTGCATTAAGATATGATCCCTGAGACCCATAAGAATATATGCGTAACAGGGCTCACGTCATGATGCACTTAGTTCCGTTTGGCAGTAATACGTCAAATTATGCCAGGATAGAGACAATAGCGAGCGGGAAGCGGGCAGTTGGACATCGGAAGCACTCGGAAAAACAGCCCAAATTTCCAACAAACCCCTTAGCCTCTTCGGTGCTTTTAATCCTCAAGTAGATTGGACCTGTTTTTGTTGCAATTCCAGTTGAAGTACTGTTTTACTATGGTCACATTATTATTATCTGCAATAATGTCAAAGAAAGAACAGTCCGTCTACTCAAGACTAAGACCGAGGCCATTTTGATTTCAGTATTTCAGTGTGCAAGGGCAAGACGTGTTTTCCATGTAGAATTATCACAAGTTCAGCCTCAAAACGATAGAATACCCAAATTCATCCGTTTAGCGGTAACCTTCTAGAAGGTCTCAGTGTAAATATGCCTTCACCGATCAGCGCTATCCAGTCAGCAGTGTTCGAAACTCATCTATGAGTTTTAGGAGTCACGTGGCGCAACAAGCCCGATTTTTAGGCACCACTGAAGATTTTTTACGGGCCAAATTGACTCTTTGCCTATATACCACGGCGTATTTAGTGAAAAGTTAGACGCAAGATGTTTTAGTTACAGAACTAGCAACTGTAACTTCGGGGAAATTTCAAAAAATCACCCAACAGAAAAATTAGGATATTTTTTGGAGGGGGGAGGGGCAATTTATAGGGGCAACATTGGCGCAGAGCCTTCTTTTTTTAGGCGCCATGGCCGGCTTTTTAAGCGTATTTTTCTGTGAGTTTCGAACACTGCCAGTCAGATTCTTGCCCGACGAATTTCATTGGTGGATCTTAGAAGCGTATTGCTTTCTCAGCGGTCATGGTCTCCAGACGGAGCTTTCATGGGCTATCTTTCAAAAGTTAATCGGAGCGAGAGTTCAGGACGGCAACAGAGCGAATCGAATTGACGTGTTGCGAATAGCGAAAGTGCGTGCGACCCTTCCCACCCTGCCCCCGCCCAGCGCGCCTCGGCCGCTCCCCTCAACTTCCCTCCTACTCCTTCTCTCTTGCCCGCGGCGGGAGGGGGGGGGGAGAAAGCTGTGCGTTCGTGTTCCGCGGCCGCGGTTCGCGAGCGCGTTCTAGCGGATTTTTTGAAAGATTCGCGCTTGCACGTGTCGCTCGTCTCGACGTTGCCGAATGGGCCTTTAACCCCGGATGACCCTTCTGCAACGGGGAACTCGTAGAGAGGGGAATTTTCTCTGCTGCCGGAGCGAGCTTTCCGCGCCTGGAAAACTGAGTGGTTGACTTCACGTAACATTGGTCACGATTTAAAAGGACCGTTCATAGAATAAGTTAAGGAGGAAGGGTTTAGGAGGACGGGTTTAGGAGGACGAGTAAGTAACCTTAGAAATTAGGTAGGTGGGGGAGGGGGGAGCGTCAAGCCTGTCTTGAATTGCGGATTATTACGTCAGAAGTCTGAAAAAATAAGAGGTACAATACTTAAACTTTACCCGGGGTTTCGCTGATTTAGGGATGACTGAGGGGGACTGTAGCCTATGAAGAAATTTCCAGGGAGGATGATCTGGAGGTCTTTTAACAGGTGCCCAACTGAGGGGAGGACAGGAGAAGCGCGATTTTGGAGCTTGGTCAAAAGTCGAAATATAAGTCAAGCATAATTTTCTTGATCGATTCGTATACGAAAATCGGCTCAATGCTTTCAGTCATTGATCAAGTCAGTACAAGTTCTTGGTCCTGCATACCAAGAATTTGTCAATAAATCATTATTGTCAGTATTTTGTTGTAAATATGTTTTGTAATTCATCCGTTTCATTTGATTTCGGCAAGTTCGTAAAATCGCACAAGAAAATACTGGGATTGCCTGTTCAAATGCAAGTACAATTGCATCAGTCCATATTGAAGGGGTTTTAACGCTCCAACTCATGCGTCCGCACTACGGACAACGTTGCGACTTACGTACTTTTTTCTCTCAAGTACGGAGATAACTCTCAAAGGCTTGAATGATGCTTGATTTTTATGCCTGCCTATCTAAGATCAGTTTTGCCACCAGAAAATAAACTTTAAGGAAAGTTTTCCCAAGGAAACAATAGTTTGAAGTTTTTCAGTTCAAAATGACTTTTGAAGGATTTGATTATGACAGCCAAGTCTTCCTCTTCCCTCATACTGATTTACCATGTTTTTACCTAAGACTTCCTCGAATGTCATTCACCTCTTTATTCTGCCGTGCTAAGGGAAAAACGCCGTTAGCATTCGTATGTTGCCAAATTTCCTCCCAGAAAATATCCATTTCTGAAGAAAGTTATGAATATTTTTCCTCGAAATTTTCAGAGTTTCTAGATTAAATTGTGAACAAAATCGTCCGAAAAATCGGAGGAGAAATGTTTACAAATTTTCCTGAAAATTCGTTGCTTTTCGAAGGAAATTTGGCAACGCTCGATGGCTCATATGACGTTCTTCCTTAGCACGGCAGAAATTGTTGAGAGTTTTTAAAGCTCGCGAGTATTTATTTATTTATTTTTTCTTTTTCACAGGCAAGAATGATGTTGCACTCATCCTCACCTAAATCGTTCTATGCGGACTCGAAAGGTAAAGATTTTGTTTCCACAATAAAGTTATGGTCAGAGTAGTTCTCAAAGAGAGAGAGAGTAGAAGCAACTCTATGTTTTTTTCAAGGGCTTCGATCAAAAAAGGATCGGGCTCTAGCCCTCACTGGAAAAAAAAAAAAAAAAACACATTGGATCTAAAGTCCAGACTCTTGAAAACATTAACAAGAAAAAGGACTCTTGATTCAATCAGATTTAAGCTTAAATCAAAAGGAAATCCGCTCAAATTAAGAGGCTTGGTTCTTGATTTAAGCTTAAATCTGATTGAATCAAGAGTATTTTTTCTTTTCGATGTTTTTAAGAGTCTGGACTCTAGATCCAATGTTTTTCTTTTTTTTTTTTTTTTTTTTCCAGTGCTCATTGGATCGTGAGTCTCGAGGACTTTCCCGATCCAGAAACTGAGCCTCCATAAAGTATTTTTCACTTATGATTTCTTTGGCTAGAATATTTTACCCTAGACAAAATGCTCATCGACGGCCAGAGTTGGAAACATTATATCCGGGTTTGTGATGTTCTAGGATTCCCTCCCATTATACATAGGATTCTTTTGTAAAAATTAAATAATTTTTTTCGAAACTTTGTAAGATTTTCTCTGCACGTAAGGTATCCTGCGTACATATCAAGCGATAAGCTGAGCTTGTTTTCGCGAAAAGATGAAATGTGGACGGATATTTCGGAAGAATGTAATTAAGACACATGGTTCACAAGTTTAACCATGGATGTTCAGCCAGTTTTTTTTTTTGAAATTCTAGTAAAGGCTCATCAATATTTCCCAAAAAAGGATATCTCATATTCTCGTGTTGAATATTCTAGGTATAATATATTCATTTCTATGGATTTGTTTCTTATTTTTTAGGCGGCTCTGTATCCTCAGCCATTGCCACGTACGTGCCTACCCAGAAACCAGAGTGGAAGCGGTATAAACAGTACACACGACACGACATCGACTCGGCAATCGAAGCAGTGCAAAACGGTATGAGTGCTCTGCAAGCCTCTCGGAAATTTGGAGTGCCATCACGGACGTTATACGACAAAGTGAAAAAGCGTGGAATCGTGACGAGCCGGCCTTTCCGACGGAGCTCAAGTGGGAATAATGGTGCAGCGTTTCCTTACGGTATTAGTGGTGCAAGTTTAATGTTAGCAGGTAATGAGCAGAATCACATGAGCATGGAGCGGATGTACCTGCACCATGCGGATGTCGGGGACAGCAGATCCGCAGATAACGACAGAGAAGCTGTGGCAATAGCCGCAGCTGCAGGTGCATCAATCAATTCAGATCGCAACTCAACGACGCCTCCCAACAGTCATCCTTCGCCACGATCTCCTTCGCCGAATTTAATCAAGTATGCAAATAGGAATAGTATGACTCCATCTCCGCCTCCGATGCAAGAGGGCGAGGATGAAGAAGACCAGGTGGAGGATTTGTCGATATCGCGGAAGCCAGACCCGCCTCCAACGTCTAGAGTCATCATGCCACCAATGAGCCAAGCCACCGCAACCATGCTGGCTGCAGGAAGCGACAGCATGCCATCCGATGGTGTCAGAGATTGATAGATACTTACGCCTACCCTCACAAAATGCCTTTCAATAACTCAGGAATTTGTTATGTAGTTGTTTTCAGTTTCTTTGCGGCTTCATCGAGCTTTTTTTGTTCACAATTAGTTGTGTTTTAAGTGATGGTCCATAAAAATGTCCAGCTGGCAATGCTGAGTTGTTTTGAGCACTCTTAAATATGAGCATGGTTTCTAAGGATGCGCATCCAAAGTCTCATGTTAGATGACTAAACTGTACATTTTCACTGTTGTCTGTATTTTCACGATATTCTTTTGCTTTTTCTGATAGGTCATTTAATTTACCTAACTGAAGGATCTGTTGCAAATAGCTGTCTTCAATGAAGTTTAATTTTAATTTTTCCCCTTTCATACTTGAAATGTCGAAGTAGGTACCTACCCTCATTTTTTTATTCATCGTCAGTCTAATCGGTAATGTTTTTAGTTTGATCTGTTGAAGCAAGTCAAACATTGCAGTCTGTTTGTTTGCTGGTTCATTGATTTTTTTCTTTACATTTTTTACAAAGTTCATGCTCAGAACTGAAGTTACAGCATTTTCATTTGTACTTATCACTGCTAGTTTTCATTCTCAAGATACCTCTATCATTAAAAACTTTTATATTTACCTATTGTTCGTGGTTGGAGAAAATTTTCCTCAAATTATATTTTCAACTTAGGTTCAAAAGTTATCATGACCAAATTTTAGAGTGTAGATTATTACTTCAGGCTGGTTTCTTTTTGCATTACTTACGAGGTATCCTTCTTTACTTAGTCCTATTTTGTGTTTTTCCTTCTTCCTGACTTTCTCAATCTTAATTTTAAATCAACTGTTCATTTCATTATATAAGACTGATTTGTTTTAATTTTTATTAAAGACATTCTTGTTGTTTCCTATTGAAGAAATAGATTAGCTTGGAGTCCAGTTTTTCATTTCATGTTACAAGATATTTTATTTTCAAATAGTAAGACTGGTTCTGTTTGACACTAAGATGCAAGTGTAAATCATCTGTTCTGGATTTTGAAATTGAGTGAATGCATAGAAAGTTATCCTACCCATCATGGTTGATCAACGTTAAATCGAAAAATCTCTAAAAAAACTTAAAGGTCAGCAGATTTGGATAATAAGTATGTTGAAATATTTGTTTCTGCCACTTTGCTTTCCCTGTTGTAATATCGTAAAAACACTGAATCACACACATCAGAAGTTTAACGTATAATATGTTGCGTTTCCCCAATTTGAAGGAACCATCATTGAGGAGGACTCGTCTGTATAGTCAAATTTTCCAATTCAACAATGGTTTAACTTATACTGGCATTGAATAATGTTGAACATATCTTAAGTTTGATGAATCCGCTGACACTGAATGTATTGATCAATGCAGCTCACTTCTCTATCTGCATTTATTTCCACAATATAGAAAAATCTAGATAATGAATCTTTATAAAACTAAAATCCCTCACTGTCTTTCCTGAGTTACCTGTGCCACTCAAAGTTCAAAATAGCCAATTATTTTTAAATCCTTTTTCTCTAGCTAATTGTTTCTTTTCGTTTCAGATGATATCAGTTAATTTTATCACAATTCGTTATTTCTCCAGCCTAGTACCTTACCGCCTCCTGTTACAAAAAGTTTAATTATCCTACAAAGTAAATTGTTACCACATTTACATTGGAGTGAAATCAAAGTTAATTTTTAGCAAATCTCACATTTTTTTAAGGAAAGTTCTTGAATTTAATATTTCACACTCGTTATTACATATTTTTGTATCCATCTCTTGTTAAATAACACTTAGTTCAATTAAATCCGTATATTTTTGTCCCTGGATAAACAGTTTTTCCATGAACGCAAACGCAGTGCCTACAAATCTGAATGAATCCTGAATTTGAGGAACATCTAAAAATTAAACTTATCTCATTTTCCTCATCTCAAAATTCATGGATGAAGTATTGTTTGTTGGGTTTTGCACACATATTTAATTTTTTAACAATATTCACTCAAATGTATTTACCTACCTAGTTCAAATCACTAGCAATTTTTTCCCCTCAGTTTTGCCTTTACTAAAGCTTGAGAAATTTACGTTTTGATAAATATCTACTCCTTCAATACAATGTCGCTCACTACTTTTATTCTTACAATTAGAGATGCAACCACAATGTTAATCAAAATGTTTTTATTTGTCATACTTATACGTTACGCTGTTTAGTCAATGTTACGAATGTGTTCTTAAAGTGTATTTAAACATTAAAAAGTACTGATACTATAGCTATACTTATTTATCACGTTACGTATCTCTAATCTTTGTTTTCACGTGAACACAATGTGTTTTATTGTTAGCACAATTTTGTTCTTAGTATTTATCAGTGTGGAAACTCCACTAGAAAAGCTCATCATTTGGACTCTGTCTTGTTTTATCATTATCATCAAATGAAAACAAAGCCGTAATGCTTTGATGTGATGTTGCTTCATATGGTTTGTTACTGCAAGCAGACTTGGTTTATTACTTTGCCTAAGGATTCTTTTAAGTTTCGCACTGTTCCATATGTCAGATGTGAGCTTGTAGCATTCATCTGGCTCTAATTATCCTCAATTGTGTTGAAATTCCAGTACATACCCTTATATTATAAACATAAATGGGGTAAAAAAAAAACCTTAAATAACATGAATCATGAGAAAACATACCTGTAGTAGCACACCTCGTAAAATAACTTGTAAGCTGCAAGGTTCTACAATTTTGAAAGTTTAACTTAGAGCAACTTAATAATCAGAGCTCAAAAATTTTTTGTAAAAATTGACGAACTGGAAGGTCAAAAAAATAAAAATAAGGGAGGATGGACTGAATCTTCTGTTTATTTTTCTTGCAAAGAATGCTGCATGATAATTCGTTTTTGATCTATTTTGCTACCTTTATGTGAAATAATAATTTTTCTTCTTCTTTCTTGTAAGTTTTACGGTGTGTGCTGCTAGGGAAGTGACTTTAAATATTACAGTAACAAAAGAAGGCAAAATTCAAAACGCAAAGGTAAAAGATAAATTAAATCACTAATTTCTTGGCTTTTGAAAATTTTGAAAACATGAATTGGCTCTGTGTACGATTAGGCTGCGTGATGAATTTTGCCTATTAATAGATCGATTAATAGATAGATTAATAGATAGATTAATAGATTGGTTCACCTCGAGGCAGACCAACTCCCATTGCAAAACTTAGCCTCTTGAGTAGAATGTTGTCTCTTACAGCGGTGTGCGCACAGTATTAGTCATGTATTTTTGTAACTTTATTAGGTAAATGCTCAATAATTCCTCACTATAAGATTCAGTTCCTTTTAATCAGCCGTATCTACCTCACTTTGTTAATTGGTGTTTAAGGGAGCTTATTTTATTTTCTTGACCATATTATTGTCGTTATTTTGTAACTTTGTAGCTCATCATACTCATCCTCACCTAGTTTGTACAGTTTTTCAGCAATGTTTATTAGTAAATAATACTGACTGTTTTGATGTCTTTTCCTGTATATTGTAAAACTGATATTGCAGAAATCTTATCCGTATTGGAGAAGCAAATGTTGTAGATTAAGTGATACAGTAGGCACTATAAATATTTTTTAAGTTGTCATTTCAACTGTTGAATGTACCTATTTCTACCACCTATTTTGTACCTCCTTCAGTACTCGCACCCTCTTGTAATCAATGGCTTGAACTGATCCCTTCAATTGCAAGCAATCTTATGTGGATTCAACATATAAATGCTTTGCCCAAGTTCTAATGTAGTCATGATCAACTGTCGGGACCATTTGATTTCAATACCTGTATACCTGCAAGGGTTTTTAACCTCATTGTGTTCATGTGAGCAATTTTCTTTGACTTTGAAAATTTAATTAAGTTTTTGACTGTGCGGCGGGTTTCCCCATCCTTGATGTTCATATATCCATTATCCACCACAAAAATCTCAGATTCGTTGGTGTGATAGTAATCAAAATTTGTGTTCAGGTTTGTTTCGCTTGTGTTCATTGCTACTTTTTTCAGACTGAAAAAGAGAAAAGGTTCTTTCTGGCTTTTGTATTTATTTATATATTAGGAGATACTTACAAAATTGAATAAGGATAGGTGTGCTTATAAACTTATATTAAATGGGCTTTTTGAAGTAGGTTGATTTCCTAGAGTTAAGAAATATTTGGTTGGTTGACTATTTATTTTGTATTTGAAAGAGCAGGAATCAAGAATTTGTTACTTGCATTATTTTGAAGATGTGTAAATCACTTGAGAAGAAAAATTATGTAGATTTATCAAAGGAGAAGGAAAAAAAACGGCTGGGTAATAAATCTGCCACCTAAACTTTTTTTTTTTTTTTTTTAAATCTTTCGAAGTTTTTTTTTCATTAAGTTGTACTGCTCTCCTAAATTACAATGTTTCAATATACCCCTATCGGTATTTACATTCAGTAACTTTGTAGCAACCAACAAAGGAGAGTACCTACCCATTTTTTAATTTCGTTCTCTCCTAAATATCAGTTTCATTCATCAAAACTCTGATCAAATTTTAAAATAGGAGTGCCTACTTTAAACCTGCTCAGTTTGCTCTGTTACCTTTCTTACACTCTTCAGAGCATCCAATTATTGTACTACCTACTCTAAAGTTTCACATGAGAAGGCACATTTAAGTAAAAATTCGGTACCTACAAAATTTACCACTAAGTAAGCAATGCGTCATAATTAGGTTTTGATGGTCATATAGTCATAACTACCTAAAAGAAAAGTAGTGTGAGAAAACTTAATATCTTGCATTTTCTACCCTCAAAATGGTCACTTCAAACATAAAAACCAAATAAATCCCCAAAAATATTAAAAACAAAATTCAGAAATATGTACCTATGTTTACTGAAAATTAAAGTTTAAATCTGTTCCAATTTGCATCTGCATTGGGCTCCTAGCAACATTGGGGGCATAAATTGAACTTGTATTTAAAAACAAAGTAACTGTAAGACTGATTAATTTGTGTTAAGCTATGGATGTGTAAGCTACAATTTTAACATGTGTGTACCTTTCTTGTAAATTTAAGTAAAAGTATAAGACTGACTTCGAATTAGAGGATAAGTTTCTTGCTTCATTGTAATAGTTGACAGTTTCACATCTGCATTTCATGTTTGAGGATATCATGAATCAGATATTTTGCTTCAACTGCATTATGGGTAGCTGAAATACCTTTGAATATTTGACTTGTGGGCCGGTTGCAATTTTTAAAAAGAATATGTACTAGTAACAAATTAATTTTTGATAAAAAGTTAATAAAGAAAATTTATTGAAATAGATTATAGAAAATTAAGGGCCAGAAAATCCCCACAAAAAATGAAAAAAGTAAAAAAAAAAACAAATAAAAAAAGAATCGAAAAAAGAAGAAAAAAATCATATTGTAAATAGTCGAACCTTGAAATTTTTGCGGAAAGCATTTTGGGTTAATTTTGTGTTCCAAAACTCTCTCACTTCACTGGTGCAAGATGGGAAGAAACTATGTGAAGAAATTCCATTTCTCAAATTTCTTGTTCTCCCTTCATACTGAGTGATGTCTTTGAATATGCTTACAAAAATGAAAAAAATATCTTCTGGAATGATATTCATTTTGTTTTGTTTACTATACTGTAAGCTCTTCAGATTTTGAAATACTACATTGAAGTTGGAAATTTTGTCACGAAAATCAAGTTTTTTGGAAATGTTGGAAGGATTGTCAACACCATGATTTCTGTGTTTTGGATAAGAAAACTTGAAGATGGTGTTAAAAATTGTTTTGGTACATAAGTTAACCTTTTATTTTGTATCATATTACTGTTCAGCTTTCTTTGATCTTTAAGTAGGCACTTAGTGTCGTTTACCTCTTCTAAGTGAGTCAAAAATTTCACTTTATAGTGTTGCTCAAAAATCATCATCCTTCTTGTATGATCGTGCACTTTAAAATTAAACTCTCTTTTCTTTTACTGAAAATCATTGAAATGCTCCCTTTCATTCATGAGGTGTCTTTTAAAAATTTTCAGAATTCAATTTAAATTGTAAATTTTGACAGGACTCCAATCGTACCTATATTCAAATAAAAAATTGAATTGAAGCGTGTGTATAGATATGTGTACATATTGTTTGTGTATTTAAATTGTGTCCATAAATTTGGAAATTTCGATTCCAAAAATGAAGGCAACAAAGTGCAAAAATTAAGATAAACTGCTTTTTGAAAGTTTGTTGAAAGTTGAAGTATGTGCTGGATTTTCAGTGGGTCTCCGACCATAGAGCAAGAGACAAAAGAATATGGGTATGTTGGTTGATCTGTTTTAGACTTGGTATTTATCATTCCAGGTTTTCCTCAAATTATCAAATGCTCTTCATCTATTTGTAAAATACCTGGTAGAAAAATTCTCACTTGTATCATTCAAAAAAAGCAAAACATTAATTTACTTGGTGTTTTGATATCATAAAAAGAAATGTAAATTACGCACTTTAACAAGAGAAGGAAGAAGGGAATACATTTTAAAAGAATTTTCCGTACCATCAGGTATTTTTTCTTTGAAGGAAGCTCCAAATTTAGTAATTCCAGACTTTGAACCAACTTTCTTCAAAGCAAGCAGTTATCTTAATAGAGTTAATGTTTAGCTTTAAGTGTACAAGTCCAGACCGGTTTTATTGTAATATTTATTCATTGAACAAATGGGTGTTGAATGTTATTTATTTATTTCTCCGTAAATAAATAAATCAAAGTTTCGGATCACATAGTGTATTTAAGGTATTGGTGTTTTTTTCATCTCTAATTTTTTTTTTTTTGATTTTTTATCCCCCCTTGCTGGCCTCAGTCCTCTCTTGAAATGTGACGCACCAAAATGTCTTCTCCTATCTCTTTTTTTCCTGTATTAAATATTCACATCTCTTCTTGACTTTGCAGTGAAACCACCTGTGGATAAATAATTTCTCCAGTAAATCAATCGAGTTTTGCTGCTTTTAATAGCATCAAAGAAACTTAACTGGTAAACTGTGTTGAAATTTTTCCGAAAGAAAAGTGACCCTCGCTACTTTTCAACTTCATATAGTACCTACGTTCTCCTGATAACTTCTTATTTACCCTCTCAATAGGTGAATTTTGGCAATTAAGATTAGAGGATATTATCTGTTTATTCCATGAGTCCAGGCTTAGTTCAACTAGGTAGCATCTGGATGAATGTCAATTCTTACATGAGTGGTTTTCACTTGAAGTCACCGATCTATTCTATCAACTTTCATGTACTCCTTAAAATCATTGTTTATTATGTAGTGTTACATTTTTATTATTTATTTTAAGTTTTAAAATTGCAACATATATTTCTTTATTTTACATGTTATATGTTACTATTTTGAATGTTTCTCTTTGTTTTTGTTTATTATTTAGATATTTTGTTAATCCATGATTTTATTTTATGGAGCCCTTTTTTTTGTTCTGTGACGTCTGCTTCCTCTCTTCTTTCGTCTCCTCAATTCCAATGGTAGCTTGCTGATCGGTCCTCACAGATCTAAGTATAAACTAAAAAAAGTCAACTGACTGCTTTAACTTCTCTCAGTTTTTGTGAAAACCATTTTTTCTGCAACCCTGGTACAAGATATCTGTTTAAAATTAAGTACACAGGAATTTATTTTTTAATTTTTCCTTGTTATTTTATTCGCTATGTATACCAAACGAATACATTTCAGGCCAGTAAGAAAATTGCAAGAAAGCAGTGTAAGAGCCATGTACAATTTTTCACCTCTTTAGCTTGAAAAATACTTCGAGCTATGATTTTTTTTTTTTTTTTATTCATTACTTTCTAAAACTTCCTCTGTGTACATTGTGCAATACTACCTAAATCAAACTCAGTTTTACGTGATGTATCACCAGAAAGAAATCCATTCAGAAGTAGAGGGAGGAAAGAATTGCCAGAGAATACGTGGATTCTGCTGTCAATACATTTTTCATTTACCGAACGCAACCCTTGACTATTGACTCAATTAATTCAATTAGTTGACTCCGTTTCTTTATCAATTACCTTGTGGAAACGAGTTTAGTAATTACTTGATCTCCATCTCGATTTTTGACCTTCTTTCCGAAGCCAATGATTTTAGTCACAATAGAAGTTTACAATTTCGAATATAGCTTCTTCCTGTGACAAAATTGCAGTGTATGATAGCCGGATCCAATCGGTGGATTTTCTCTCCTCATATTTTTTTTTTTTTTCATTTCATTTTATTAAATTATTTGTTTATTTTATTATTTTTAATTTTTTTATTTTTTTTATTTTAGAAAAATTGCTTGTAAGTTCTAGTTTTTTATTCAAATTCAGCTGCCTTATACCAAATGTACATTAGAATAAATTTATTGCAACGTTTAAGATTTGTAAATTGTTTGTTTGTTTGTCAGTAGCACCCTCAATATTTTTTTCCTTTTTTTTCCATCTTTTTTAATTCATCTCTTAATATTATGTATTCAATACTTATTACCTCCTTTTCTTATTTTATAAATACAAATGCTTATATAAACTTACTTTTGATCAGTTTTTTTTTCCATCTACCCATTCCAGTCTCTTTAAAATTGGTTTCTTGTGGAATGTATTTTAGTTACCTAGAGATCCAGTTTTTTTTTTACTCTTACATTTCTCTTAGGATTACAAATCCTCAAAAATCATAGGTATGAAGTTATCCATATCTGACGCAAGCTCATGAGGTGATTTATCACCTCATGAGCACATTTAAAGGCAGACACTATACCTTTTAACATATTTTTTTATGTGACATGAATGCATGGAATGATAAAATAAAGGAAAATAGGTGAGATCTTTTTGTCATAAGAAGGGTTTAATTAATGATCATAGGAGACACAGGGTGTGGTTATCATCAATAGTAAAACTGTAAAACTCCGAAACTGTTAGCTACTTATTATATTCTTCGGCTGAGTAGGAGAGGAATTGAAATAGGAGTATAAAGGTTTCATTACATTGTTGCCAAGTTAAGAGAAAGCCTATCAACGATGAAAGCCAGAAACAAAAATGCGATGGCAAAAATAGCCATTGCAACATTTGCCGCCAAATCACATTCATCAAAGATAATTCAATTTCTCTCTCTTTATTTCTCTTTATTTATTGTAATGTGAAAAAGAGCTTGATGCAAAAACGGCTTTTTTCGCCCCCCTCTGGAAGTTCTTCAGACTTTGTCTATTGATTACTCATACTTGAGCGCTTCTTTTCCCAAATTTTCAGACCCCCAAAAAATTTTGGGGGGGAGCTAGGGGGGGTGGAAGTCAAAACCTGTGAACCTCAATATCTCTTGAACAAAGAAAGTTATCGAGGTCCGGTTTGGACGAAAAATCGTCTAAAATTGCATACTTTAAGATTCTAAAGGTCGAAATCCCGATATCACTTTTATAAGTCAACATATGTGCTTTTTTCCAGTTTTTAGGTCTAGAAAATTTCTTTTAAACGAAAAATTTGCAAAGATCTCAATTTTTTATTTGAACCAAAACCAGTTTTTTAAATTGTTCGTCTTTTTCCGCATCCAACGAGTGGTCCATTAAGCTGGGGAACCAAACGGTTCCGGAGTTATGATCGATTGAAGTTTCCGCTCAACGCGCGCCGACCGATTTTCGCGCGCAAAAAAGTCGGATTTGACTGTTATTAGATCAG